CTGGAACAATACGTTTAGTTTATGTAATCATGAAATTCTTCCAAAAATTATTATTATGATTGAAGACCAAAAAGCACTGCAATCTGAATAGATCTATTGTGCATAGTCTTTAACATGAACCCTGTATAATTGAACTTTCTATAAATTTTGTCACAATTTGGATTTATTTGTATATAAAAATAACGCCACCTAGGTAGTGAAGCCTTTGTCTGGCAAGAGAAGTACATTTACCAAGAATATGCTCTATGCTTTTAATAGCTATTATGCAAAAATAATAGATATCAAAGTTGAAGAGCCCCTAGCGAAACCTTCGTCTGCTAAGAGAATTCCATTCACTAAGAATATGCTCTAAGCTTTTGATGGCTATTATACAAAAACAACAGATATCAAAGTTGGAAAGCCTCAGCGGTATTCTTCTCGCTGAGATAACCTGCACTATATTAGTGCAATCGTAATCTACACATTAGGATTACATTAAGGATTACAGTAATCTACACTTTTTTTGCCACAAATTTGATTTTTTTGGTAATAAATATGGTATTGGTCCGGTTATTTTTATTTTTAATGAAAATTTTGCATAGATGGCGCGTGTAGTTTTTCTTATGGTAATCAATAAAATAAATAAACAACTTTAAACCACGATATTTCAGAAGGTCACTTTAACCGTGTATATTATAGTGAAAGTTGCTTAAAATACCTGACTCTATGAAAATATTCCTTTTCTTAGGCCTTTGCTTTGAATCTCAGTGTTTTTATAGTTAGGCTCCAGACTCTTGAAAACGATTCGAAGAGAATGTTTACTGCTCGTAAAGCTATATTATAAATATATTCAAATAATTATATTGTTAGGAATTTTTACTTTCTTTAGCGTTTCAATGAACAAAAATTACATTTATTAAACTTCAGTATTCTGTAATGTAACTAGTTTTTCTAGCTAGAATTCTATATACCGCCTGTTGAGGCAATGTTTTGGGACATAATAACACTTCGATTGATTGTCAAGCGTTTATTTCTGAAATCATATTAATCGTCTTCAAATAATTTCTCAGCATATTTAACGCTTAAATAGTTTTATTTATTTGTTAAATTTTGATAAACAATTTATGAACTAAATACTGACATAAAAAAACCAATCGTTAAATTCCACTATCCATAGCTTTAACGTTAATTAATTTATAATACTTTCAATTCTGCATAGATACGAATATTTTGTATGTACTCGTATATCTATTATCCAGTATATTTAATACGATTTATGGTAATGAAAAAAAATATGGCAGCTGTTAAACTTTAACATTTCAGGTTCGAGGGAATACATTAGGGGACATTAGAGTTCACATAGCTCAAGTGACAATGTTTTTATAATAATGGGCCTGATAGTATTCGTTATGAATTACGTACTTAATGACATATGAGTTGCTTCCAATTACAGTTGCAATAAAACTCGCTGTGAATTTTATTGAAAATGTTTATATATAAAGTAAAGGGCATAGAAAATCAATAGATTTTTTAGGAAGCTATTATTAAAATTCAATTTATCATTTTATAACATTTTTGAAGTCCACAACAAATAAAAATAGGTTTTTAAAAACCCTTATTATTCGCAAGGGTAATGAAAACAACACACTATTATGAATATTTGATTTAATTATAAAATTTGTTAAAGTTAGAGTTTTATTTAACAGTTTACAAGAAGTTTTTGATAAAAGAAATTATTATTACAAAAAATTAGTTTTAAAGATTTTGAAATTGTTTTTAGTTTACCTTTTTATGGACTTCTCAAGGACTACTATAAGTCATCAATATGAAATGGATATTAAAACGTCTACACACATTCTTTGTGAATATATAAAACTAAGCAGACATATGTGTCCTGTTCATATAGAAAATAAACTCTTTTCCTTAGATAACATATCAAACTAAATAAAACTATCCAAAGTGTTCATGTCCATTAAAAGCCTAAGAATCGGTTAAAAAAAACAGGGGTTTGCACAAAGACAACACGGGTCGCGATGCATAGTAAGTAAGTTAATGTTAAATCATATAACAAAACCAAGGGCAATAAAAGGAAATGTATTTTAAAATAGAACACATTTGACAATAATCAAATCTAAATAACTTTTATAGAGATATATTTAAACCTAAGTCAATATTTTTACTGATCAGACGTTTGAATAATAATTTTCACACTTTTTGGCATAACTGGCATGTCTATATCTAAATCTATAAATTTATGACAGGACTAGAAGAGCATTATGATGACTCTGATCTGTCAAATTATATTATTTATCAGAGATTAAATTTTCAAAGGACCGTACAAATATCAATAATGCTGGACCGCCTGAGTTCTTCGGTTGCCCCAAAAACATTTAAAAAATGTCAAAAAATAATTTTGCGCCGCAATTAAGTGTAATTTCGTGTGATAACTGATATTTTGTAGTTATCACAACGCCATGTATTCAATATTTTACATGCACATTTGTCGGTGATATCAGTCAGTACTCTATTCAAAGTAACACTTGATTTGCTCACAGCAGTTGAAAAACAACAACACATCAGCGAGTTAGAATGGCTTTAGAGTAATTTCAGCGCAATAAAAAAAAATTTTTTAGACTCTATATAGATAAATTGTTGATCTATCGCTGTAATCGGAAGTCAATAGTCAATCGAGTATACAATAGCCGATTAAAGCCGCCCGAACCAAAACGACAAAACAGTTTACGACCAAAAACGTAAACGACAAGCGGTTAGGTTTTGACTTCGGTATTTTAAGATGAGCACGATATTTTATTTATCGGTTACATGGAGACAGAAAGAACAGTCAATAGCGAATATTATATATATTATATACTATATCGATGTTGTTTCTTAATCTAAAGGAGAAAATATAGCCAATAAAACAACCCCAAATCAAGTAAAGAAAAAATGCTCTTTTACAAGACAATGGACTATATCATAAGCCGACCACAATATTGTCATATATCATTCTTTTTTTTTTTTGCTTATTACTGCTCATAAGTTATTAATAAGTAAAGTTCTTTATATAACAAGTTATTAAGAGGACAGCAATAGGACCAGCAATTCTGTCCGATTAAAGAAACTGGCTATTAAGAAAAATGTACCTTGTTTTTTTTTTTTTATTTTTCATAAAACTGGGATCTATCAGCTTGTACAGTTAAAATTATGTGGTTCGCTTATAAGAATGTCCACTTAATTCAGTTTTCTTTTATTATTATATCTTCGAAGCATTAACCTTGAAGCAATCTATTGGGAACTGCATTAGCTCCGATTTTTCGGAGTAAAGTAGTTGTGGATAAATGAAAAGCTTTTTATGAACATTGAAGCCACTTACTAGACTCTTACCGATAATCTGTAGACCACAGTTTCTTAATTACCAATCCGTGTCATTAGTACCACCGACCCGTAAAATTTTATATTTTCTCATTTAATAATTTACTTTGTTGGGAAGATATTGTCACTAGTTCTTGCAAAGTACATTAACTACAAAATTTACGGGATCTTGTAAAACAGTTTGAATACTTTTCCGATCTGCATTCGTTTTGAGTATAAAAATATTACTGTGGACCATTTCGGTCAAACAATCTAATGCTTTGATTTGTAATTCCTGTAATTCAAACTACTGTACTGAGTCCTAACTTTCCTTACTGAGGCCCTATGCTCCACTAGGACACAAGGATTGCAGTAAGTAAGAGTCTTTACTGTACTGAATCAAAAGGGAACTTTATTAAATGTATTATATCAAATTTGTCAGAAAAACTATAGTTTTTTTTGTTGTTTGAAACGTATCTTATATATTATAACATAAGTATTTGAAAAAAAAAAAAGGATTTACTGATTTTTTAAACTGCAATCATACATATTCCAAACTTTTTTTTCTATTCACTGAATAGTTGTTATGTATCTTTCTGTATAGACTAACTTATACGTTCCAGAACACTTAATGTGTTCCTAATAAGATTTATTAAAGTGCTTGTTTAATGAACTTTTTTATGTATAACAGTTTTTTTTAATCCTTTTTTAATTGTATTTTTTTATATAGTTCTTTTCTATATATATGTATATCGGTCAAAATCATTTAAATTATTAATATTGATGCAAGTTTATCATTTGCATATATATATAGCCAACATTTTGGAATTTTTTTTAATTCTTTTATCAGAATGGGGTGTTAAAACCTAAAACTTTGTAACATTGGAACGTTAGGAATTTAATACAGAAAAAAACTATTTTAAAAAATCCACATAAAAAATAAAAATAAATCATTTTTATTGGAAAGCTTACCAAAGTCTTCAAATAAACTAACATTTCCATAAATCATATTAGGGACACCTTCCGATCTTTAGAATATATAAATTAACATAACACTTGCGTCTATTGGAACATAGCCTATGTATAATAAATGAACACATTTTTAATAGAAAATAAACAAAAAAAATCTAGTACCTAATAGGATTTATTTATATGTTATTTGAGAAATATCTACAGAATCATAAAAAATTAGATAGAATTAGATAAAAATCGAAACCAATCTTATTCTTATTAAGGTGGAGGAATGTTTATATACATACATATAAAAAAGGATTAAGGAATAAAATAAGAAACGAAAAAAATAATCTATACTACCGGTTTACTATTGGAATACCTTCAGACTTCCACTTTATTAATTGTGGATATCTTCTTGAAAGGGTTTTTATGTTGTTCTTGTTCTTCTTCTTCTTACTCACCTGTAGAAAATGCGGTTTTTTGATTTCTTCTGTTGTCACAGTTTTTGTTTTTGTGAAGATTTGTTTTTTATTTTTTATTTGTTTTTTGTTTTTGTTTTTAATTTGCTGCGTTAGATATTTGTTTTTTTTCACAAAAGATGCACAAAAAAGATAGATACGAGGAAGATGCGTTTGTTTCTGGTAAGATTTTGTATTCAGAACGCACAAAAAGTATCTCTAACTATACATAAGTGTATAGCATTTATACAGGTTTCACTTGACTTCTAGTACCGATCGATGGATGGCTTTACGTTTTGGTCTTCTATTCAACCAACACTTTAAGCTGTTGCTCTGTTTGCTATTGTTGTTGTTATTGTTGTTATTGTTATTGTATTTTTTGTTACTTTGGATTGTTTGTTTTCTTTTTGTTATTCTACATGAATATCACGTTTTTTTTAGTCACGTTCTTATAACTCTCGATTTTTACTGAATTTAATTATGTTTTATTTTTTTATATTTTTTTCGGGACTGATTCTTCAAATCACTCATATATTTTAACTTTGATCCTTTCACTTTCAATTTACGAAAATATTTTTAATTATATTTTTCTGAAAAATAAATTATTATAAAAATAATTAAATATATTTTATAATTATATTTTTGAATTGAAATAATTAAAACACAAAACACAAAAATATTCAAAATATTTATAAATTAATTCTTAAACACATTTAAAGGAAAAAAAATCAAAAACAGAAATAAAATAAATATTTCCATTAAAAACATAAATATAATAATAAAACACAATATTAAAAAAAAAATATTATTTTTAAAATTTTTATATCACTTTGTCATAAATTCTTGAAGATATATTTGCTCCTGAAGAACCCTCCCGCGATGAGTGCTTGAAATGCAGTGACTAGTCGAGGATTGCAGAAACCCTCATTCGATCCACCACGATTTGAATTTCAAATACAAGAACGACAAACGCATTCATGTTTCATCTCTTGCTGCCACAGCCAATGCACAACACGACAACAACATACACTCGAAAAAGTAGTCAAAAATAAAAAATACTACTTTTTCAAAAAATTACTACACCGTCAATTTCACTCAAATGAGATAAACAACAACAACAAGTACAAATAGCTCATTCCCTTCGCGCTCTTAGCATTCGCTCTTTGGCTCAATTTACATAGCAACCATAAATGCCACACTGAAGTGCAAAACTTCTATGGCAAATAAATATTTTTCTACACAATAAGTATATATTATATTATATATTTTTTAAATATATATATATTAAAAATGAACTATTTAAGATTAGTATAATAACCAATCATAATTATTATTGTAATGATATATATAATATTTAAGTACTTTGAAGTTAGAAAGATACCTAATACAATAACCTAACTCAGGGCTATCCGTTTTTATTTTTATCGAAAACAACAAATACAACAATGTATTTGTTTTTGCGGCACTACAATATATACAATAATTGGTATTGGACCGCGATCGCATCTGATCTGAAAAACTCTGATCTAGCTCAAACAGAAATCGGGAAACACAACTTACTATCTTACTCAAATGGTAAGCGGGTATGACGAGGATCTACCCGGTTAAATTTATGGCAACGGAGAATGTGACGAATCAGTCACATTCATAGATGATATACATGATCGGATTGGACCAATAAATTCCGAAAATATAGTTGAAAAGATGATAGCGAAACCATAAAGCTATCAAATGATAGAATAATACGTGATTAAAGTTCTCAAAGTGAAAAAATTAGACTTTGAGAAAAAAATCAGTAACTAGGTTAATAAATTAGTGCAAGCAGAGAAAAATTTGATAAAGATTTGATGTCTGGACGGAAATTGTAAATTAAAAAAGCATGGTAGGTATAAAATGCCAACAAAAAAGAGACCATCTCAGATATAATGTGATCACAATTCCAGAGGGATAAGACTCTCCGCAGAAGGGGTGGTTTACAACATATTAATATAATAGGGAGTCGGTCAGACCTTCCGATGGTTTGAAGGTGCATAAAGCATAACATAAAAAAATTTAAAAACAACTATAAGTTGAAATAAAATAAAAATATAAGTTAAACAAATAATAATAAATAATTGTTAGCAAATAACAACAAATAAATGTTGATAAATAAAAAAAAAACAAAAAAATAATAATAATAAATAAATAAATAATAATAATGAATAAATAAATAATAGTAATAAACAAATAAATAAATATTAAATAAATAAATAATATTAAATAAATAAATAATATTAAATAAATAAATAATAAATAAATAATAAAAAATAAATAAATAATAAATAACAATCAAGCATTTTTTCAGTGAATGTCAAACTCTATCTATCCTCTAGAAGTAATAAGTTTTTAGAGAAATAACTTTTCCCTAGATCGATTAAATTAAGTAAACTTACTGGAATGGATTTAGTTTTTGTTTTTTATATCTTTTAAAGTTCGTTGCAAGGAATGTTAGTGTAAAACGGTGTAAAATCGCTAATTGTAGTCAATGGAAAAATACTTGTTAACCCGCCACTGCAACCAGACAACCAATTTAAGAAAATTATTAAAACAAATTAGTTTATGGCCAATAACTATTTAGAAAGAATAGAATTTGTGTTTATTGTAGATACTAGTTAAAGTTACAACACTTCACTGTCTAAATGGAGTTTATGTTCTAAAATTAAATTCACAATCTTAAGTCTGCTATTATAACTATAATGTCAAAAAATAAGAACAAATCATCTTTGATTAATATATGAAATGAATATGTAGAATATCTGAAATAGTCACATTTTCACAACACTAAAATCTCATAAATATAATAACAGCTGCAGTTACTCTATGAAATATAGTAAACTTCTTTAAGAATATATCAAGGAAACAAAACCGAAAAAATGAAATATTGTTGATACATAAACGCAATCGCTATTTGGATTTTTGTAAGTTTCAGTATGACAACAGTTATCTATTCTTATTAAAATTCGAAACATAATACCAAAAAACTGGGTTTGTTTACAATAAAATAGATGTTGAATAAAATTTTTTTATAAATTTTTGATGTCTTAGGGTTTGTTAACATGTAACTAACAAGCTTAGATATATTATGAATTAATTATAATAATAAATTGTTTATATTATATTCAAAAAATTATAATTTAAAATTAATATAGTGCACATATATGAAAATTATATTCACGAAAAGTTCGAACAAAAACTTTGTATCTAAAATTTTGCACGCAATTGTCTTTGTTTACGTTTTTCGAAGAGAAATGTTTGCGTTTTTTCTGTTTTGTTTTTGTTCTCGTTTCGTGCACATCACACTCAATTCACATACGAAATCAGGTTAAGGATAAAAGGACACGACGACGTTCAATGTGTCATATGCGGTCGCAGAGGAGGTGAAAGACGTTCCTTTCGAATAATTTTACTGCGTCTTTAATTCAAATGTTTTAATGAAATGCTTCCACTACTGAGGCAGTATATGCGTATATGACCGGCTTTCATATGAACTAATATACAAAAACTAAAGAAAAATTACATGAAAAGAAAAAGATTTATAGGGAAAAATTGCATGAAAAAAAAAATATTTATAGGGCACTTATAATCAAAACCATGTTAAGGACCTTTCAAAATCTTAGACTCATACCAGAACAAAAAAAAAAAACCGGAAATAGTTTTTTTTAAAAATATCTGCACTAAAAAGTAGAGAGCAAAATATTTTTCTAGGCAACTACTATTTACGCATACTTATACACAAATACACACACATACATATATATTATAAATACTGTTTACTGATATATTAGATTCCCCTGTACTAGAAAGATTTCTACGTTTACAAAACACTACACCATGAGATTATGAAAGCATTATTTCCATCACAGATGTTATGTTTAAAGCAAAAACTTCAGATCGATCGCATAAATTAAAAAATGAAGACAATCGATATATCACTTTAAATAACGATCAGAGTAATGATGAAAATGAAACCATATTTAATAATGTATTCTATTAAAAGTAAGACACCACTACATGTTTCGGTGTGAATTTAGCACCTCTATATTCGATGTGCTGACTGCTACTTGAGCAGGGGGATTTCCAAGATTTACCTGGTTACCCTATGGAGACATATATTTATTTATTTTCATGTATATCCAATTATACAATATGGGCTAAACAATATTTGATTTGCGTGCTAAACAAAATTGTGGATTGCACTTAACTTTATTGCACCTTCAAGACCTTACCGGCAAGGGTAAGGTGCTATCAAAAACATTTAAGGCATTAAGACGGCATTAAGGTGAGTCAACTTGGATTAAGGCGGCAGTAAGGTGAATCAATTTGGTTTGTGAGATATAAATTCATAATTCTTTTTATTATCAATGTCTATATTTATACGATCTCATCACATTTCAAGCGGGAGATGATCATAGAGGCATTATCTTTTGATAATCACATTTGATAATCATCAAGAAATATTAATTCGGATAAATTTTTAGTCGGAATCACTACATCACCATTTGACCCGTACATTTATTTAATTTTTCACATAAGTGAAGACATTCAATTATCTTTCATGAATTATAATAAAACATAAATAATATAATATACCTATAATATAAGTTTTAACTTAACATCAGTTATGACGGAAATGACTATTTTATTTAAAAGAAACTAGTATATTTGGTAGAGAGGTTTTGAAAAATAGTGAACTACAACAACAAAAATTCTTTTTATATTATTTTCATTAATTGAATTTTATTATATTATTAATTAATTGAATTTTTGACTGACCATACAGCTATTTTGAGTATTGTCAAGTACCTATTAACAGTGATCTTGGAATTATTGCTTGTATTTAATTATTTGCAAATAATTTTTTGAGATTTTTTATTATTTTAATAATTAATTAAAATAATAGAAAAATAATATTTGTTTTTGTAATTCTCTAGTTTTTGAAACTGCTCTATAAAATATATAATATATACAAAAATAATAAAAAAATATAATAATAATATAAAAAGCTAAGAAAAAATATAATAATAAAAACAAAAATTATATAAAAAAATTTAAAGTAATAATAAAAAAATTTTAAAAATAAAGAAACACAAAATTTAAAAATATAAATTATTAAAAAAGTTAAATATAAGTTTAAGCTTTTTGAAAATAAATTTAAAATTAACCAATTTTAATTAAATTTGATTTGTTTAATAAAATTTAAGTTTTTAACTATTTATATTAAATTAAAAACGAAAGAATTGAAATTCTGAGGTGTATTTAACCATTTTTCATAAATATTTTTATATATATTTATATATATTTATAGATAGATTACAGATAGTTTATTTGGAGATCATTTTCAAGACCTTTTTATGTTATTTAGATTAATATGAGTTTTGTTTCATTCTTTACCGATTCATTCTCAGTAGTGGGAGTGGCTCTATCAAAAAGATTTATTCCACTCACTGTTCACTACTCCTTAAGATCCAATGCAAATTATTATTCTTCTTTGTTTAAGATATATATAACACCTCATCCCAATTAAGAATGTTCACACTAACGATTTTTTCGTTTCTTTAAAATTTTCTTTTAAGATCCAATATAAGTTTCTATTTTTTTTTTTGGCTTAAAATATTATATGTTTCTAGAACCTGATATATAACACCCCATATTTTATCCCAATTAAGAATGTTCACACTATTTCCTTTTAAAATCCAATATAAATTTCTATTCTTTTTGTTTTTTAAGATATTGTTTGTTTCAGTAATCCGATTTATAACACCCCATATTTTATCCCAATTAAGAATGTTTACTCTAACGATTTCCGTTTCTTTAAAATTTCCTTTTAAGATCCAATATAAATTTGTATTCTTTTTGTTTTTTAAGGTATTGTTTGTTTCAGGAACCCGTTATATAACACCCCATATTTTATCCCAATTAAGAATGTTTACACTAACGATTTTTTCATTTCTTTAAAATTTTCTTTTAAGATCCAATATAAATTTCTATTCTTTTTTTTTTTTAAGATATTATAGGTTTCAGTAACCCGATATATAACACCCCATATTTTATCCCAATTAAGAATGTTTACACTAACGATTTTTTCGTTTCTTTAAAATTTCCTTTTAAGATTCAATATAAGTTTCTATTCTTTTTGTTTTTTTTAAGATATTATAGGTTTCAGTAACCCGATATATAACACCCCATATTTTATCCCAATTAAGAATGTTTACACTAACGATTTTTTCGTTTCTTTAAAATTTCCTTTTAAGATTCAATATAAGTTTCTATTCTTTTTGTTTTTTTTAAGATATTATAGGTTTCAGTAACCCGATATATAACACCCCATATTTTATCCCAATTAAGAATGTTTACACTATCGGTTTTTTCGTTACCTTAAAGTCCCCTGTAACTTACCCATATCACATGTTAACTAACCTCACCACCAAATCGTAATTCCAAATCCTAATTCCCTTCAAGTGCTAATGCCTGTACTTCATCTCGAAGTCAACTCACTCTATGGCTATGCGAAATAGAACTTACAGTACTGACAGAATTAAAGACAAACAAAAAAAAAACCTTGTAACCGGCTTTTATTTCTTTCTTTTGTGTTTGGTGTGTTTGGTGTTTTCTTTTTTTGCTTGCTTGCTTTATTTGCAAGAGAAAATGACGTCAGATTTGAGGCCGCATGGAATAACCTACCTCAAACGCTTACTCTGCTGCTGATTAACAATTTTCAACATACGTGATGAAATGCTAAAAATCGGTATTTTTTCAATTGTAATTTCTTTCTTTGTGCAATGTATAATTATTAGTTGAAATGCTACTCGATTTATTTTGCGAATTTGCTAATTTGCGAATTTAAAATTCAATATGAAAAAAAATTCAATTCAAAATTTACATATTTACAATGAAACAAAAAACAACAAGGAAAAAAGTGTCTATGACGTACTGACAAACGGCTAATGCATTTGAGCAGAGCCCCAAGCAATTCAACATGCAGTGGAGCAGTAAAGCACAACAACAACAACAACAACAACAACAATATAACGTGACAAAATATTTTCTATTTGGACATGGCGCTCTCATGTACTTAAACAATTTGTTTTTTGTTTTTGTTGTAGTTGTTGTTGTTGTTGTCCCTGCTGATATTTTGTGTGGAGAATTTGTTTGTGTGTGTTGCAAAATGTGATTGCTGCATTATTTATAAATTTTAATGTGCATTTTTTTTATGTTTACGTTAGAATATTAAATAAATTTCAATAGAAAAATGTTGTTATTGCAGTAAATAAATTTGATTTGATTTTGTGGTAATTAACCCAACAACAACAAAAATCAGTTGTTGGCCCAAAAATGTGTGTACACAACAATTCTTATTTACTTCTTGTTTTCTACCAACATTTTGAGCGCATTTGCATTATAAGCATTAGCAACCGCAGAAGAGCAGCGCACACAAAGCCAAAATATAATTCCACTCATTGTAGATTAGAGAGAGAGAGTAAGACTGCGAGAGAGAGAGAGAGAGCGCGAAGTACAAGTTTTATTTATTTTTATTTATATTTTTTGCCTGTTTGAATATATATTTTCTTTACACTTCAGAACTGCAGAGATTTGTTGTTGCCAAATGAAAAAATCTATGTTAATTTTTTTTGTTTTTTTTTTTTATTTCTGGTATTTTTGCTTGAATTAAAAAATTGTGTTAATATGATAAGCGGTAATATAATTTTAACTGTTTCTTTGCCATTTAACTAATATTACAGAAGAAATGTCTTTGATTTATTAACATTCGTGGTAACATTTGTGTTTTTTTTTGCTTATTATTGGCGCCTTTCCCATACAAAAAACGTAAAACGAAAACAAAAACAAAACCAAAAAATTTTAAAAGAAGCAAAAATAAATAAACTCTGTTTGCTGCAAGAGATGCAAGAAGAAAAGAAAATGCAATTGCTTTTTACTCCAAAACAAAAAACAGTATTTTCACTTGTAACTGCAATTTGTATTAAGTTTTTTTCTGCTTTATTATTTAATTTTTTTTTCATACTAAAAATTCTTATTTATAAAAACAATATAAAATAACTGGCACAACAAAAAAAATAATGAAAATAATAAATATTATAATGAACAAAACAAAATATTTTGTATGAAAAAATCGATTCTTTTTTTGCTTCAGCATAAATATAACAAGGATTTTTGGCATGAAAACATTTTCTTTTTAACATACTTATTACATACATTATACAAATATATATAATTAGTTTTTACTTTAATACATAATTTTTGGTTTGTTTTTACTTTTTCAATTGTGTTAAATTTCGAACGGAAATACGAGCACTTCACAGATATACGCGCAACACATCACACACGTTCCAACGAAATTTTAAGACTAAAGGGAGCGCACTTAGGATTCGCGTACTCTTTTGCTTGTTTGAGTGACTTTTGCATGGGAGAAAGTTTCAAGCAAAAAACTCAAGTTCTGTTTGGCTCATTGAGTTTGGCAGCATAAAAGTATGAAACGTCGAAAATAAGTATTAAAAAAATTATTAATATGAAATAATCAACTATTTTATTGTAAAATTGTAAATTGTATAATTTTACATACATATATTATATATGATTTTTTAAAAAATAATTAAAAATAGTCTGTTATTAAACAATTAATTATTTTATTAAAATTTTAAAATTTTTAATATATGAATTTTAAAAAATTAAATAATAAATAATCTCTTAGAGATAATCAACTATTTTATTGTAAAATTGTAAATTGTATAATTTTACATACATATATATATATATGATTTTTTAAAAAATAATTAAAAATAGTCTGTTATTAAACAATTAATTATTTTATTAAAATTTCAAAATTTTAAATATATGAATTTTAAAAAATTAAATAATAAATAATCTCTTAGAGATAATTAATTATTTTATTGTTAAATTGTAAATTGTATAATTTTACATATGATTTTTTAAAAAATTAAATAAATAATAATCTGTTAAGAAATAATCAAATCTTTTATTAAAAATTTCAAAATTTAATATATATATGAATTATTAAAAATTAAATAATAAATAATCTATTAATGATAATTAATTATTTTATTGTAAAATTGTAAATTGCATAATTTTAAATACATTGAATTTGTAAAATTTTAACTATATATGATTTTTAAAAAAATTAAATAAAAAATAATCTGTTAAGAAATAATTAAATCTTTTATGAAAATTTTTGTATTTTATATACATAATTTTTCAAAAAATATAATTAATAACTACTCCCTTAGAAAATAATTAAATATTTTATTAAAATTTTAGAATTTTACATTGATGATTTTTCAAAAAATAAATTAAAAATAGTCTGTTATTAAATAATTACTTATTTTATTAAAATATTAGTATTTCACATTTATGATTTTTTAATTAATTAATTAGAATTAGAAATAACTCATTATTTAATTAAAATTTTTATATAGATGACTTTTCAAAAAATAAATTTAAAATAATCTTATGAAAAATAATTAAATATTTTATTAAAATTTTAGTAATTTTAAATATATGAATTTCAAAAAACTAAATAATAAATATTCTATTAATGATAATTAATTATTTTATAATAAAATTATAAATTGTACAATTTTATATATATATTTCTACTAAGAATTATTAAACAATAATTTATTGAGAAATAATTAAGTATATTATTATAATTTTAGTTTCTTACATATAAATAAATATATAAAAAAAAATTAATTGAAAATAGTTTGCTATTAATTAATTACTATTTTATTAAAATTTTTATGTAAAATACATAAATGATATTTCTTAAAATAAATTAAAAATGTGCTGTTAAGAAATAATTAATTATTTTATTAAAAATTTAATATATTACATAAATGATTTTTCAAAAAATAAATTAAAAATTGTCTGTTAGAAATAATTAAATATTTTATAAATATTTATAAAAATATTATATTTTATAATATTTTTGAATTATATATATACATATTTTCTGTGGACTTGCAAAATTTTATTTAAAAATTTTTTATAAATGTTATTGGAAGAAAAATTTTATTTATATATACATATATTAAGGATATAATATATATCCGCGATTTTTAAGCAGATTTTTAAAGAAAAATTATTAAAAATGAAATGCTGTAGTTTACCGGTAAAAAACTTGGTCAAGTAATGGTTAACGGCACTGCGGTCATTCAATTTTTTGCCATTAAGAGAGTTTTGCAGAGAACAGAAGAAATGGTAGTCAGATAGTGAATGTAGTAAAATTCCCGCCGAATATGACCACTAAATTGCTATCGCTTGATCAGAGAGGAAATAAAAATTTAATATAAATACCGTAACAGAATCGTAAAGGAAGCGCTAAAGCATATAGAAATCAACTAAAGGCATGATATTGCACTTATGGGTTCCATAAATCATGTAATAAAAGAAAGCTTGATTTATTGATGTATGTAGTCAAACGGTGACGCACTGCTCTAAAAAAGCTGAATTAAGGACGACATACTTCTTCAGTTTTTTTTTTTTTTGAATAACATTGATGAAAACCGTGAATTGATGGAAGAAAATTATGAACCGTGATTTAAAGTAAAAAAAATAAGTTCCAGCGCTACTCTTAATGATTATATTGAGCTTGGCATCAAGCTTTTCTTTAGGGCACGATATTATTGCGCATTATAGCTCTTATAACTAGCTTCCAATAAAACAAGTCCCCAATTTAACAAACAACTAAATGTTGTCATAGTCTAATGGCATGTTACTATGTTACTATCAATATCAAAATCTTATCCCGATTTATATATTCATTCGATTTAACCAATTTTTTCATATCATGAATTTTTACCAACTGTGTCGGAGTATCGGAGCATATATATATATATATATCAAACATGGATCTTCATGTTTGATTTTCCTACGAATTTATTTGTTGGGTAAGAAACAACCATTTTACACGCTACAAGTCACCACGTATATTTAAAGTATTGCTACTAATAGTTTGAATTTTCAACTAGTTTAACTGATTAGTTTTTTAAAGACTCGTTTCGAAACATACCGTTTTTTTGAGTGAAATTATTCTCCATACATTATTTTAATGTGTTCTGACTATCTACAATCCAAGCAATTGGAGAATTGCAGTCATCTATTTTTGAATAAAGAAAATGAGCTCTGTTCTTAATGTGGCGTCAGGCTGTTTTGGGTACTTGACAACTAAATTCTTTCAATTCCTAACAGTAAGAATTTTATATATAGCTGTTTTATTACATCCGAAACAGCTATATAATTAGGTCTATTAAACTAACATCTGCTATTAATTATTTTTTTTTTTTTTGTGAAAATCACTTCTTAAAAAAGGAAAACTTTAAATATAAAAAAATTTCACTGGATTGTTATATAAAATTTTAAAAATTTACAATTTATTATTAGATTAAAGAACTTAAAGCAAATACTTACCTGGTATAGTTTTTTATTAAATTAAATAAAATATAAAAAAAAATACTTAGTATCAAAAAAGTGATAGAATAGAATGAGAATAAACAGGGTACCGAACCGAACAGAAGACATTCCGCTCTACGAATGAAAATTAGAATGTCAGCTGTTGAGGACCTCCTAATGTCAGAAGGGGAAAGTACCTCTCGACCCAGTGACTTTCTCCTGACCCAAATTAAGGCTGACCCAGATCTTTCCAGTCACAGAGAATATAACTAGAAGTCTCGTCTGCTTATAAGCAGAGTCGACAATCTATCTCTTTGGGCAGACCCACTTTGTTAAACTGATAACGCAGTCCGTGGTGACCCGATAGATATCACGCAAGCAGCCTCAGCTCTGTTCTGCTGAGAAAGGTTACCTTATCGTAACTGTAGGGACGAATCAACTATTTAACCTGACGATCAAGAAAGTGATAAGAACTTTTTAATTTTTTTAACTAAATGTGATAAATGGTTAAAACTTTTAATTGTTTATAAAAAATTAACTATTGTTTTCTATATTAAAAAATGATTAGTATTACATTAGCTTTTATAGTCGAGTAAAGTTCTACCTGTATCACTTTTTAACAACAACAACAAACAGAAATTATCACTACTTAATCAAATTCTGCATCAATAAAATGAAATTGACACCTACTAGGGATGATATTAACTCCGAATCCAAAAACATCATATATGATTTTACCGCAAATGTGAATAAAAGTTGCTTTTTCATAATGCTTGTCGATGAACATTGCTACTCTTCTTGCATATCAAAGCAACGCATATACACAATAATTTTTCATATATCTATATATCATATATTTTTATTTTTTTTATATTTATATTTGTTAAGTGTATCAAAATAGTGAATTGAACGAAGTTGAATAATAAATAGCATTATAGAAATAAATCGTTGTTGTTTTAGGATTATTATGTTGTTGTTGAGAATAATTTACTTTATTTAAAAACTTCAAAGAATTTGTACAGCTAAGCTTATATAACTCTAAAATAATATAAAGTCCGCTAAACCCCCCTTATAAGTCAATATCTATCATTCGTTAGGAGAATATTCAAAATTGTTATCAATTTTCTAACTGGCCTGACAGAACAGGATGACACATTTCATATTAGGGACTTCGACTTAATTTGTTTATAGACTTGTCAAGTTCTTCTGAAAGCACGTTATTTGTGCGCTGGATGTTTTAAAATTTCAGGGCTAGCGCATACTCTATAGGGGCCACCTATAATTTTGGAGATTCAGGTGCCAACTAAAATCTAAGCTGCTAAACTGCTTACCACTAAAACAACAATTTTTAATAATAATTAATTAATAATAATATATATATATTTAATATATTTATTTATGAGTATAAAAAAAGATTTATAGATATTAAATAACTATTGGGCACATTTTCTATTTACAAATATAATAGTAATTGATGAAAATCTAAAAATAAAATTTGTTTTCGTATTATTCTGTTTTAATATGATTTAAATTTTGAAAAATAATTTCAATAATAACAATTTTAAAATTATAATAATAATAATTTGTTTTTACATATTGATATATAATATTATATTTACACTATCGCAATTAATTTAGTGTGCAGCAATTAAAGCCATTTTTCATACAAAATTCATATGAAAATATGTGAAAAAGGTTCGATAATTGTAAGTGTAAACGTAGTATAAAAGTAAAACTTTAGTAAATTAAATGGAAAATTTATTACTATATTAATTACATTTATATAAAGCTTGAACCATTTTTTGTTGTAAATAAACTAAAATTTAACAAAAAGCAAATATCTTAAATTTCTATTATAAAGGCTTATGAAATGATTAAGGAAATAATTTATTTAAATTTATTAATTTTTTTTAATATTTGTTAAACTGTATTAATTATGTTTATTACAAATAGTATGTAAATCATATAAGCGAAAAGTACATATATCAAAAATATATTAAATTCTTCTTTAACATGTATAAAATTTTAAGACTTACAACTTAATTGAGTATATTTATGTTTTTTTTGTATATTATAAACATTAAAAAATAATTAAACATGAAAATAAATTAAAATAATAATAAAAACTTTCCTTCAACTGCTTCATAACATAATGAAAATGATTTCTATTTAGATAACATACACAGAAACTAAAAAATATGTAATATTTAATTTAATTTTTATATTTAAAAATATTAAATATAAAAAATATTTAAAGGACATGTCATTGTTGTAACCCGCAGAAACCTGTGGAGCAGGAAACGTGAATGGAGTATCGGTCAAATACATGGGTTATAACGCGATGTAGAATACTACAATTAAGCGAGGTAAATATTTATTTCTGTAAATTTTATCATTCTTACAAATATTACATATAATGTAATTGCTTTTTAGGCAATAAGAGCAATAAGTGCTTTTTACAACAATAATAAGAGCTATTATATAGGATAAGAAATTAAGATATAAGGTTATATAGGATAAGGAAATAAGTTCGACAATCAAGTATCGTTTGTCAAAAAGAGACTTCACAAGGAAATTCCTGTGGGTCACAACAACAACATCAGGAAAACCCAGCAGCGGCCGGGTATATATTCAGCAGAAATTTGTTTATCTAGGCAACCAAAGGTTGCTAATCACTCTCAACAAGGACAAAACTAGCAAGTATGTTTTGTTTAAAATTTTAAGGATTTTATTTAACATTATAAAAGTTCATCTTTCATTGGACTTAAATTATTCTGTTAAAAAGATTTAATATAATGTAATAAAGATTTAAACAAAAAATTAATAATTGATTGCTTAAATAGAATTAATGCCCATATAATACAAAAAAAAAAATAACAAAATAAAATAAAATAAAGAAACTTATACGTTCGTTACAATTATATAAGAAAAAGGAGTTAAACTATACATAGTACAATTTATCATTATAAATAACAATATAAAGCTTATTTTATGTGATATTAAAAATGTGCCCTTTATAATATTTTACAAAATTTGTTCGTTCTATGAGAATTTTATTCATTGATCATGTTACACATGTCATTGTTCTTTTGATTTAAGGCCAAAGTGCGGCCAAAGGATTTGTGCGTGAAAGTTGTGGACACTTGCTTACGATAGGCTTTGCCTGCTTTCAGTTCTATGGATCTTTTATTGGAATGTCTGAAAATCAAAAATGTATTTAAATATATCGAATTAATGTTACCAAAACGAAAGGACTTACTTTAAAATCATTTCGGGACGTTGTAGTTGCATACATAACTTAATATCTGAATAGAAGTCGATTTTTGCATCCAAACTAATCTTTGGCTCATTTTGCACTATGAAATGATTTTCCAATTGAGCATAAGTGAAGCCAACAGCCATAACACCAACAATAGCGGCACCAGTACTATAAAAATAAAATTATAATTAATAGTATGATGACATTATCTTCGTGAAATAGATAAATACATACTTTTGTTTTATTTCCGTTTCAGCGTTACGGTTCCAAATGCTGAAATTTACTTTACCATTTAAATCAACCGATTTTGCACCTATTATACGTATAAATACAGTAGCACCTGAAGCTAGTATAATATAATGTTCATGATCATGTGTTACTGTAGTTGATTGATATGCTGGTGTGGGATCTGAAGCGGTTCCACTCCATACATGACCCATGAGTTCAGAGTTTCCAGTAAAGAACACAAGTGGACGTAATATTACACCTTGGACAGATATTTCCATACCTGCAGAAGCAGGTGAATCGTCTACTTCCTCATCATCGGTATCTTCACTGACAAATGACGATAAACCACTTGTGTATATACCCAACTAAAAGAAATCTATTACTAAAATTTTATTTTTATTTTTTTTTTTACAAATATACATACCTTAAATGTAGTTGTCTCTTCACGTCCCGCAGTTAGTATTAATTCCACAGAACCACGCTTGAGAACACCTTTGTTTATTTCTTGTATTGACAACAAGCTTTCATTAAATGCTGGTGTTGTTGATAGTTGGCGCGTTAATACAGTTGTAAGACCTATAAAAATATACCTAATATATATAGCCGTATATACACTACATTTAAAAAGTATAAAAATTTATATGGTTGAAGGCAAAAACTATAGTAAGAAAATGTCTATAACTTTCCCAGAGCTATCATTCAATAGTACTTTAACGTCAAATCAAAAGAACTACAAGAATAGCGATTGAGTGGAACCCGATGGGTAGCAGAAGAAAGGGCAGAGCTGCTCACACCTGAAGAAGACAAGCCGACACGGAAATGTCACACATGCAGAAAGGCTGGGGAGAGTTGGAGTTAATAGCCACCAATCGTACCGAGTGAAAGTTATTTGTTGCGGCCCTATGCTCCTCCTAGGAGTTAAAGGATTAAATATATAAATCAAAAGAACATCAAGGTGTAATATGATCGATTAACAAAATTCTTACAGAACCTGAAGAAGACAAGCCGACACGGAAATGTCACACATGCAGAAAGGCTGGGGAGAGTTGGAGTTATTAGCCACCAATCGTACCGAGTGAAAGTTATTTGTTGCGGCCCTATGCTCCTCCTAGGAGTTAAAGGATTAAATATATAAATCAAAAGAACATCAAGGTGTAATATGATCGAGTAACAAAATTCTTATAGAACGAACTACCTAAATCTATGAAATACCGTAACAGCTCCAACCGGGTCTACATCGCCGATTTTATATTAGGTTTACATACAATAAGAAATATTAAACGCATGACTTCTACACCGCAAATATAAGAAATCATCTAGTTAAAACTGCCCGAAAATAAAATTAATATAGGCACTAGACTCTGTAAATATTAGAGAAATAATCTTATTTTCTGCAAACCTAAATTTTTTCATAATTTATGGCGCCTTCCGATAAGATTTTCTCAATGTAATCAAATTTAGTTTCAACAAATCTATTCACCCCACAGCTATTCTCGTTATTTCTCTCCCGTTTTATCTATTCTGTCAACCAATTTAAGTATTTGTTTTTAGCTGTAAATGGGTTATAATATTAACAACAATTTACTGAGTTACATACATCACTCATTATATACCAAAAGTAATATTCTTACCTTTTTGAGCAATGGTATTATAATTATTAACATGTGGTCTCTCTGCTAGACAATCTTTCAGTAGCACATTAAATCGTGGACATTTTTCGGCCAACATATGCAACTTTTGTATAACGTAAGTCTTAATCTCGAATTGTTTATCGTTGGATGTTAAATAATCCAATAAATTACCCAATTGCTCCTTAGTTGGCTTGAGTGACAACAATATGTCAAGCGCGAAAATACGTGCTGATGTGTCGTATTGACGTTTCAGTTGATAGAAAATTTGTTCGAAAAGCTTACGTTGCTCCTCTTTGAAATATACTACTGGGAAACCACGCAAAGCTTGCATAGCAGCAACTGATGTATACGCATCACCTTCCAAAACACTATTAATAAGTATATCTATTGTACTGGCATCTTGTAAATTCTGTAACGCACGTATGAAACGCGTTTTACAGGCAGCATCTTTACATTTTTCCAATTCACTTGTGATGAAATTGCGAATATGTATTATCAACTCATCGCTTAGTTCCAAGCCAGTTTGTCTTGTAAGAGTGGCCAAAGTTTGCAGTACAGTATCATAAAGTTTTGAATTTTTTATAGGTTCATCCTTGCTTGTCAGACGTGCATAGAGATCAACAAGTATATAACGATCGGGATGTGTACCCACTGCGAGAGATTGTAAATATTTTTCTAAGAAATCCTCATCAGATTTTTTATTATATTTAAACACTTCATTGATGGCATTATGTGCATCACTCGTTTGAGCTGCAGCTAGCAAGTCAACCAATTGTCCATACAATTTTTCATGTGATTTCAAGATATTCACGAATTCCTGTTGCTTGGTAATGCGTGCTAAAGGCAATAACTCAGCTATTGCAACGGCAAGTTCATCATGGCCAATGTGCTTATCGGATAGAAGTTTAACTTTCTTATCAATACTGTCTTTTAACTGTAATTAATAGTTTTTTTAATTTATTAGTAATAATGTGTATCTCAGTTACTTACAGTAATATCCTTAATTTCACTAACAACGCCATCAACGTCAGATTCAATGTCGAATACTCGATACCATTCCAAGAGACTGTTAATCGCTTCATCCAATGTCACAAAATTCATCTGGTCTATTGGTTTTTTTATATTTTCCAAAAGATTCTTTATTTCAAATACTGATTCCACTTGACTGCCTACATCGGTCTTTGCTTCTAAAACTACACGATGCTTTTCAGTTGAGGTAGCTTTCAATAGCATTCCATCGGCACTTAATTCGTATTCAACGTGTTCTTGTGAGTTTTGAGTAACGCCTGTAAAGTTGCATTTCAAAATAAAATAAATAATTATTTTGAAATGAAATATTGAATATAAATATAACTTACTCAATGGCTTCTCTGCGCGATAAGAAACATGCAGGTCCCAGTGTCCACAATCTGTTTTTGTCTTTTCAACTCTGGTGCTTGATTTTCTATTATAGAAAGTAGTACACGTACCAGAACTGTCTACCTCCCGCACAGGTCCATTTTGGTTTTGCAATTGCAGCAGTGAGGCAATACCACGTTCCAAATTCAACAGTGACTGATCACGTGATGTGTGCGCTATTACTTTACTGGGTTTACCGTTGAGCAAAGTGATATAGAAAGGTCTATCTGGTATTGTAGTAATTTTCTGTGTTACAAAGCTTTTACCTTTTTGCCTAGGTGCTTTTACTGTCGAGTCCAAAAAATACACTGCTAATAACTGTTCTGTATTTGAGCTCCATACTGATCTGATTTTCAATAAAGATTCGAATGTATAGCTTGTTTCTTCATTGCTGGAATGCTTCAGATCAGTCATCGTAACTTTGTTCGTCAGAGCAAAATGTTGTTCACTAGTGATGGGTATAAGCTGAGAGTTTGCATTGTCTAAAATTAAGAAATTAAAATTTGTTAATAGAATTTAAATGATCATAAAGCGAGGGTGTATTTAAATGGTAATGAGAATTGTAAGCAGTGTGTTTTATTTATCGAAATGGATATTTTTATGTAATGGTTACACTGTCATTCGTGTACCTATTAACTACCAAACATCTGCAATGATTATTTTGTGTTTGTCAAGTGTATGGCCAAATCATATGTTAATGTATTTAACGAGGCAAAATGTCGAATTAGAGAGTTTGTGTAAAAATAAACAGGTATTAAGTAAACCGAAGCATTCAAAGAATTAAATAAGGCGTTTAGCTTTCAGGAAGCCTGACATGACATTAAATATGACTCAATATCTTATTTCTTTATCAATGTTGAAAACATGGAAACACTTAAACAGATTGTGGTTCCCAATAGAAAGAAATACTATTATAAATATTGGTATAACATATGGTTCGGAAGCGGTGTTGATGAATGTTTTGAACATAAAACGAGTTACAGAAAGATTTATTTTGACGTTTTATTGTTTATACAAGAGTTCAGGGCGAAACATAAAATCGGCATTAAGAGCAATGCTGAGAACATCCTAATATGGATCTTTAACACCTTTTACTATTTTCCAAACTCTATTATTGTGACAAAATTTTTCAAGAATAAATATACTAAATAATGCAGCATATAAAATATATAATATATAATGCAGCAAACTACGGTGACGTAAATCCATAATACCAAAAGAGAACTTTGAAATAGATTGAAACGAAATTGTAGACCAAGAGTTCCAATAATAAGTTTCAAAGTAGCAAAACCCATAATACCGAAAGAGAACTAATTTGATCATTTTTAGAATAGAAACTACGGTGGTAAAATCTATAATACCGAAACAGAACTACTTTGAAATAGATAAATGCGAAGTTATAGGCCATATTTTCAAAACTGGAAACTACGACGGCATGAGTCATAATAAACAAAGAAAATTGTTTGATATATAATCTGACCATATAGATCATATATAAAATACTATTTAAAAAAATTAAAACATCTCTTCACTTTTTCATTGGACTTCGTAGAAAAAAGGCTGATGGTCGTAATTATAGTTCCATTTATTGTAACCGAAGAAAACTTATTTGTATGCTTCTCATTTTAAGAAGGATAAATACAGATATTTTTGGATCCCCATTAAATGGCTAAAAATCTCTTCACTTTTTCATTGGACTTCATAGAAAAAAGGCTGATGATCGTAGTTATAGTTCCATTTGTTGTAACCGAAGAAAACTTATTTGTATGCTTCTCATTTTAAGAAGGATAAATACAGATATTTTTGGATCCCCATTAAGGTGCTAAAACTGATATATAATTCTGGTAGAAGAACCGTACCGATATATAGGTAAAAAAATTAAAAGTAATAGTTCTGGAAAAGAAGAATTTAAAACAAATCAGGAATGTTCGTAGTAATGACGTTGTAATAACATTTCTTTTTCTTTGTGTTGAAAATGTTCTATTGAGCGATGATCCCTGACTAATCCTTCATTAAAATGGATATAATTGCATATTCTTAGTGTATTAAACCGGTTAAAACTTAAGAGAGTCGCTATGCCTTGTTAGCGACTCTGCAATAAAGATCATGAATTCCCATAGAACTACTTCATGTTTCTATAAATACAAAAATGCTTGCTGTTACACTAACAAAAATATTAAGATAGGCTTTAGAAGTGTATGAACTTTCAATTTTATCAAAAAAATAAGGAGATTGAATTAATTCGGTCCTATCAACGTTTATTGTAGATAAACATAAAATAGTTCTATAAGGACGGACAGACATTAGAATTATGATTATATGAAGAATTTTGGAAATTGGTTACTGTGTGACCGAAATAACATTAGAAATTCAAAATTGATTTAGTTTAAGATAATTTTTGCAGGTATGAGTTTCTAAAATAAATTCTGGAGTGAATAACAAAATTTAGTGAAAATTCTCATACTGAGTAAAGGAAAAGAAGCAATTCATGAAAAAAATTGATGAACTTTATAATGATTAGTGACTATCTTACAAACATATCATCCTTTTCCTCTGGTTAAAGTGTTATGGTGTAAAATTTTCAGACGACAGTTTCAAGCAATAATCGTACTTGACATATGTTCAGAGATTTTTTAGTGATTACCTGCCTTGTTGGCCTAACCTCATCGTATTCTAAACACATGTATTAAGATAATGTGCTAATGGACGCCCCATTGGGCGTCTATTGATCAGGACATCCGACCTCAAAGTAGGCAGGACATCCGAAGTTGCGGCACTGATCCCCGTGGTACCAGATACTCACCTCCGGTCGGGTGACGCAAGTGAAACGTGTAAACATATTCTATGAATAAATTTAAACGAAACATTTCTTAGAATTATTTAATACTTTTTATACAAGCTTTTGTGTATGTAATTATCATAAAATTGAACTACCATTTGATTTAGTCATCAATCATACTATATATGCGGCAGAATATAAGTTTTTGATACTACACTATAAAATTATCTTATGTTATCTATCTGATAAATCACCTGCAGCACTTCTCATCGAAAAAGCCATTATCAACAATTTAACAAAAATTAAAAAAAAATTCATTTTAATTAAAATTTTTCAAAATGTTTTAGAAGCACTTGTATTTTTATTAAAATTACTTGATAAACTAATTCAAAAATAAACGTCTAATTTATATGTATGAACATACGAACTGACGTGGTCTTTAGAACCAATTAAATACAATTATTAATTGAGATCAAGATTTTTATATAAAAACTACTCATTATTTTTATAATTATTTTCATAACCGATAATTAATTAAGTCTTGTTAATTTTAAAAATTTAACTAATATTAAAATAGAATAACTTCAATTGCACAGAATAGAAAAGAATAAAATATAATAGAATAAAATATAATAGAATAGACCAAAATAGAAGAAAATGGAATACAATAAAATAGAACTAGAACACCGTCTTCCAACTGATTGGAACACTTTAAACACGACAGATATTTTGTTCTGCTGATCGAGCTAAACTTAACAGTCTTCTGACATTACGTCCGCTGGAGATATAAATTTTGATCAATGGATACCAAAATACCACCTGTTAAGAATTTCCTAATATCAGCTTAACATAACAGAAAATAATAACCTATTATTTTATGCATTTAACTATAAAATGTGAAGAAATCATAAATATATTGCTATGGGTGATTCATTTTGTTTTTTTACACTACGACGACTTTTGGAAAAAGTCAGTCATATATGGAAGAAACAGAGTTTTTGTTAATTTTTAAATTAATTTTTTGTCATAGTCTCCTTCGAGAGGATATGGCAGCACCTCATAATGTAGTTCGATCAATTTTGCTGCCGTATTAGCTGACGAAAGAGTTGTTGGATTGTCATGGTGTAATATTTTTTCTTTTGCCTTTTTTTTAAATTTCTATATCTAACGTTCATATAATATTGTTTTGTTAGATACGCATGATGCCATGTGCATCAAAAAACATAATCTATATAACTTTCTTGCTGTTTCTTTTGTTACCAGAGTGCAGTAGTATATCCATATATCATCAACTGTTATTAATGAACATAAAAACTCTTTTGGATTCCAAAAAGTGACATTGGTTGAAAGTATTTAAACGGGTACATTTTTGATGTACTATGAGTGAACGCGACACCCATTTTAGTGACAACTTTCTTAAAATTTTTTATCACATTCACAATTTCTAGAATTTTTATTCGATAATAACTAACCCTCCAACACGATTTTATCCAATATATTCGGAGTTGTTAGCCTATCTGGGGTCTTTGACCGAGCTTAATCACAACAAAACTCCACTAGGCACTTTGGAATTATTTCATATGACAATATAGTTTCCATATTTCATTTAAAACATTTTCTTTTTTTATAAAAAGGTGTGTCTTGCCAACATGCAAAATTATTCTTTCCCCATTTTTGCAAGTTTACCAAATCTTCCCTTCCATAATAGAAAACTATCAGAACAGAAGTAGGTGAAATCTAGAGTTAAACTTTCAAAAGTTACGAGCTTATTATAGGAATATTACAAAAAGTTTTTAAAGTTTATTTAATACGGCTCTAACCCACTTATCAAATAGACCTCGTATATATAGTCACGTATATCTAATCTCTTACTATGTATGCCATCAACGTATGAATCAACTAAACATACAATACTAATCTATGAAAATCTTATTTTAATGCAAAGCAGTGACAATGTATAATCTGTTCTAAACTAAACAGTATTAAAGCCATTGTGCCTATATCTCATTAATAGATCAGTCTTAACAGTTTTTTTAAATTTTAATACAAATGTTAATCGAAATTCAACAAAGCCGAGTTCATACTACTAATCCCTTATTAGTTTATTTCTGAATTTTACTGCACTTGTTTTAATCTATTTGTGGAGTTTTTGTCTTAAGGGATCTCATAGGATCTTGTTTATTTGCTATTTGGAAAAATGATCTGTTGTCTATAAAATTAAATAAATTAATTTCTTGTTTATTGTCAATTTTAATCAATGAATTTTATTTAAATTTATTAAATAAAGAAAATTTTATGTTTATATTAAGATGAAGACAAAACACTTACTAAAAATTATAAGATAAGAAAGAAGAGCTCTTTTGAAAATAAACGACAGATTACAGATACACTACAGATAAATCGAAATAAATCGACAGATAAGTGAGAATGCCACATGTATTCGCATTAATGATTTATATTCATTTCTTTTCCTGGAAAAATAATTATCTAACAGAAAAACAGATTTTTTCATCAACGCAGTTTTTGTAATTAAATTGAATTTATGCAGATAAAGATAGATTATTTTTTCTTTACTTTATAATAAATTTTACAATAAATTATTTCATGAACTTAATAGATATTCGCCCTAGATACAATATAGTTAATTCTTATTTTTTTTAACTATTCATAAATTTTTTTTGTCTTTAGAAAAAAGTATCGCATTATATTTTTATATGGAAATAGGTTATTTTGAATCCGTCTTAATACATTAGCTTACTTTAGATTTCCTAACTTTTAGACTAATCAGGTTTTTGCTTGCTAACTAAAGAGATTGGACAATGACTATACCAAGACATCAGTTGAATTTTGTACTAACTGACCAACGTTGGTTTTATGCCATATTTCGACAGAGTATTTTTTCGAGATTCCATCTTTGAACCAACAGCGAAGCCGAGTAGTCTTCATAATATAAGTATATAAACTTTTGAGGATGACTACATCGAATAATAAATAAAATCAAATAAAGATTTAGCTTTGGTTGTGTCGAAGCTTAGATACTCTACACAAAAGTTTTTTGTTTTTGGGTACGACTTCTTATTGAATTCGTATGATCAAACGTAAAATATCACCTTAATATATTTACCCTATGCTATATCAAGACAATGGCGCACTCTTCTTGAAAAGAGTCTGTTCTTAAGGCAATTTTCAACTGACACAACGGAACACAATTAATTTAGAAAGGGAAAACTTGAAAAAACCTGTAATTTTCAGTATTATTCGACTCGTGCCGATAAGATGAATGGCACAACGTTAGTGTGTCTTCAAACAGAGCCCTCCAGATAACTGACGCCCACTTATTGTAATACAGCCTAGTCTAAGTACAGCAGATCTTTCCTTGAATCGATTCTGTTTTTCTTCGTAACATGTGGAGAAAATAATAAGAGGGTTTGACAAAATTGGATTCTGTTACTTCAGACCCCCCATCTCAGATTCTGTTCTAATAAGGTACCCACAGCGGTAAAAAAGTGGTATCTAAATCCTAAACTAACCTTCATTTCGTCGGTTCCAACACTACAGTTTATATTGTGTACCTAAAATTGTAGTTGAATATCTTAATAAAAACCGGAGAAACCACTTAACCGAACCACTTACTTGATATGACAGCTATAAGATATAGCTGTCTGATTTCAGCAAATAATTATGACCCAGTTTCGAAAAGTAGATGTGCCAAGTTTCACTCGAATAGTTTAAAAACTTAAGCATTGCTTTGAACTACAAGCGATGGATGGAAAACAAATGGACAGTATAAAATAAAATTAGATCGTCGAGTTGATCTAAAATATATGTATATTTAGAAGTCTACGACGTTTTTTTTAATGCAAAATACAAAAATCTTCATAAACGTAATATACAAACTTTCGTTTGAGGAGTTAAAAAACTAAGAGAGTAGTTTGGGAAGAAACAAACAGACGAACAAGACTTAATGATCTTCATATTTCATGGAGTTTATGCTATTTTCTTTAATGTATTACGAAAATTTTGACAAACCTAATATACATTTTTTGGGTAAATGGTTTTATGATCATTGACTAATTATAGAACCCTCTTATGTTGTAGACTATTATGACAATTTAATTTTATATTGGCAAGAAAAATTTTAATTAATTCCCAAAAAACTTGCAATTATGACTTCCCAAGGCACTACATTAGATAAAAAAAGCAAGCATTTCGCTTATGGGTTCGGACATATTGGTCAACTGACTAAGTGCCCTGGTTTTATCAAGTTCTTCACTCTAAATATCTTTCTAAACAAGTTTTACATATACAACTATTAATTAGTCACACTTTCTCATACGATACCCTGACCCGAATCGATAATTGACTATATCCCATTGCAGTGGCTAGGTTTCTTCGCCTTAACTCAATTAAAATCTCAATTAAATATAGAAGAATTAAAATCTCACCTATCTCCCATTCACCTACCCACATACGTATATGTGAATCCTCTCATGTTATCTGCTCGATAGATCTCCGCGAGTTGCAATAACAGCAACTGATACTTCATTAAGAACTTTAGATCGGTGTTGTATTCATATGAATATCATTTAAATACATATGTATATATTATCTATAGCGGCATTAAATAACTAAAAATCTCAAGTCAGGCATTTCAACTGAAATTTGTTGTGAAGCACGAAATGGAAGCAAACAGCAACAAAACTTTCTCTAGCCGAGCTGACCTTAAAAAGTGATTAGAACAAGGTTATCAAAGTCGAAGAAAATAGAAAACGTGCATATTTGTAAGTGATCTATACATATACATATATATATATATATATATATACCGAGTTATTTAAATTGTATAGAACTGTCTTATATTAGTCCAACCAATAGACTATCGCTACGTATGTGGAAACGTTTGGTCTCTGTGGAAATGTTTGGCATGTGGCTGAGCTCTTCCAAAGGAAAGGAAAGTAACTGCTCTCTAGTTGAATTAAACAGAACTACAAGCTGATCTATAATGAATGAATTTTAATGAAATAATTTTACATAGCAGACATAAATTCTAATATCACGAAACTTCCAATACAACAACAATCACTGCACAATTATTCTAAGTACATTAATTGAAATATTGTGCCTTTAAGAATTGCTTTGTAATATTTCTGAAGTTAACGTTTGGAGCGAAAGCAACAGCTACAGTGAAAATAGCAATAATAACAACAATTTAAAAAGCCGGCAGTCCACAAACAGGTCAATAAACTTTTTATTGGATTTTATTTTACACATATTTACGTCTTCTGAACAAAATATCTAAAACAGTTTTTTACCCGATTAGATGTTCTATTAAGAGACGCATATAAAAATATTGGCAATATGTATTTAATTATTTTAATCAACAAATATCGTATGTATTTTATTCATTTATTTTTTTACTTACGAAAAAACAAGCAGAACAACAACAAATTTGTTAGCCGGAGCATTGTATTGGCATTTTTATGGAAGCACTGCATTTTTATTAAATTTTGAAAGTAATGTTTTTATTTGATTTTCGACGTATTTTAAATAATGTTTAAGCTTTCATTATATATTCATTTACACTCCCGGTCACACAAAAAATAACAATAAACAAAAAAATAAACCCTTACAAACTGAGAGCTGAGTGTCAACTGACTGATTTTGATTTTCCATAGCAAATATTTTTGATTGTCATAATTAAAATAAACAGGGCTGTTATATATCAAAACTTTAACATTTTTATGACACATTAAATAATTTTTACGTTGATTAAATTTGTTGAAAATAATATTTTTATTCTATATTTGTATTTACATTTTTACTTTAATTAATAATATTTTATTAATATATCTTCAGTTTTATATAAATCAATTTCATTTAGATATTTTAAGAAACAGGGTTGTCTGATAAAATAATGAAAACGTAAGTAGTCGGTAGTGAAGTGTGTTCGATTATTTATAGTTGAAATAAACTAATATGAAACTTTTAAGCCGTGTGCAACTTCGAATAAATTGATGGTAAATTAAAGGAAATAGTAATTTATGTCGATATGGCAGTCTATGTTAGTATTTACCAGATTTTCGAGTAAGGTAAATTAAGCAAAAATTAAGTATTACCATTGTGAACATTTTATAAGATGTTTAATAAATAAATAAATTTGAAAACTTTTAACAGAAAAATAATAAAAAAGTGCAATAAAGAAATATAATTAAGTGCAGTGCAAAAAATTCCTAGAAAATTTCAATTTACTTTACTTCAATTTACTCGAACTGGAATAAGACCTATATATAATTATGTCGTGTCTTTACAAAACAATAATTGGAGTTTTCATACTTAATTCGATAATCGCTAAAGTTGCAAACTGACACCCTTCTGGCGCTCGTTTTTACTCGTTTCTTATTAAATTGAAAAGCGAAAACAGCTGATTTTGTTTTAACTTCTTTTATCATAATTAAAATTATGAAAATGGAAACTAGAGGTGAAATTAAAATTTAATTTAATTTTTATTATATCATATTTCCATTATTTCTTATTTATTATTATTATATAAATTTGAAATTTGTATATTAATATTTCGTATTTTTTCACAATTACTTTTATTTTATTGCGATTTTTTACTAAAAATTTTCAGATATCAATGCTCTATAAGTTGTTATCTTACCGTAACGTTATAATTTCACAAAAATATTTATTTACATATAAAGTATTCTTATTTTATACGGCGTTTACATTGACCGAAAATGGCTCATTTTGGTCAAAAATCGAAAATGAGTATCGAATGGCTCATTCTTGCATATAAAATTTCAAGCACAAAAATGAGCAATTTTCTCACATTCTGTATGAATGACGTTCGAATGCATTCCACATACGTTCCAAATGCAAAGGAATCCATTGAACATACCCTAAATGAAAGCTCTTCATGGCATTTTGACAGTTTGAAAAAGCTGTTTTTAACATATTTACAAAAAAAGGTAAACAAATGTTTGGTGGTTGCATTTTCTTGAAAACGATGCACTGCTTTTTAGAACTTTTACTTCCTAAAAAGTAATTAATCGAAGTTAAAAATATGTTTTAAGTTTCTAATGTAAGGTTTGAAGGCATATTTAACCTTCATGCAACATTTTTTTGGCACAGGCCAAAAATCAAATCAACATGCAAGTTGAAAAATCAGCTGTTGACATGAGAACAAATGAAATAGAACGAATGTAAACACTTTCAAATGGCTCATTCAAAATGAGCCATTTTCGGCCAATGTAAATGCCATATTACCGAGTTCCTAATATAAGGAGCGTGTCTGTATACCCCTAATGTAAATAAAAGACATAATACAAAATAGCAAATTTTTTTTCGTGTTTAAATGTTTAAACAAACAGCAAATTATTTGTAATATAATTAGTCAGATATTTTAATATGACCAGAAAAATCTTATAAATTTTTTTTATTTTAACATTACATATGTAAAAATTTGCTTCCAAGCATAGATTGAACCGATTACTTTTGTACACAGGATATATTTTTTAATTTACTATATGTAAGTTTTATGAATATTATTTATATACATGTAATTAAACACTTTTTAATATGATATAATTAATAAGCTACTATATAGAAGTTTTTATAAATAGTTTACGTATCATTAACATAGAATATATTCTGAACTGTGAATCGTGTACTGTGAATGAGTAATCGAATTTTGTTGTGCACTAATTCTCTATTCAAATGTCATATTTTACGCGGTTGCTTTTTGTACGAATGATGTACAATTACTAAAATATGGAATTATTTGTAATAATTAAGACTATTTAATTAAGGGATTAATATGGATATCACAATAAAAGCATTATTGCATAAGAATGCCATGACAAATGATATTAGAGATATAAAAATATATATGTATATATTTTATCGAATGGAATCTATATTAACAAGGATAATTGAATTGGAATCAATAGGAATTAACAGGACCGTGTGTCACTCTTTAACTACTAAATAAACCAGGTAAGGGATTAGGATTTAGGAATTTGTTAATGCAACGAAGTAACAAAACAAATGTGGCGTAATTCAATTTTTTGTTTACATGAAATTCAAAAAAAAAAAACGATTTTAAATTGTAAAAAAATTAATGTCAATTTGATTTATTTAAGCCATGAATTTTGTTAATTTCGGAAGCTAATAACTATTTTGAGCTGCACGAGTACTTAAAATAGCTTTTATCATTCTTTTCAGCAGTTGCAGTTCAATTACATGTTAATGGGATGACTTACTTCTTATCTGTAGGCAGATGCAGATGAATTAAAAGCTGGTGTTAAGGAGTGTCTCGCATAAGATTCCTCGCTGACGTTAAATTGTCTTTTAAACGAAACAAGTGTTCCAAGTTATGACAGAGAATCCTCATTTTTTTATGCTCCAAATGAGTAGTTCTTGACTTCATTTGCTTAGATGAAAGTGATTCCATACTTTAATGTTTCATTAAAAGGACGAATCCTACCATGGACAATAAGCAGTAAGAAGTGTGGAACTCGATGTGTAAAATAAATTTACAATTTTCAACGTGACATATTACGCAAACACATATGAATGTTTATAGAATGTCTGTTTTTCTGGGTTACTGAGTAAGTTTAATATGTGTTTAACAATATGGTTTCTTGATATAATCATCGATCATACTATTTTAGATGAACTCCAGCAATTATAGCTATAGTTATTTGGAAACTGAAGAGAATACGGATATATTATTGTTAACACCAATATGTGTTATATTTCAAGGCAAAGATATTGGAAAAAAATGTTGATGGAATGTACGCATATATGCCTATATGCTATAATTAAGGATTATAGTTAATTGACTCCATGTGTTGGTGATCACCTTTTGGTTGTTGTGTCTTTACCTATGATCGAAATAAATAAGAATGATGAAAATACTTAATTATAGATTACTTTTAATAACAAATAACTCTGAGCGTCATAACAGCCAACTAACTCGTAGTTTTTGAGTAACAAGACGTCCTCGTTTAAAATCGATGAAATGTAGATAGTCTTATATATTATAGAAAAACAAGAAAATCAATGTCTTTCTAAGATAAGTCGCCAAAAGGCTTTAAAATGTATACATTTCTGTAATTGATGTTCTGCAATATGATCTCTCCATTTTGGTAATTTGTTACTTTTATACTATTCTTGCAAACAAATTTGTACAATATTTTACATATACAATAATATATGTGATTATGTGCGTTTTTAAGTGATTTATGTTTTAGTACAGAATATATAAAGCACATTTTGAATGTATAATTTTCTTATATGTGGAACATCTTCATCTTTTGCTGGTAATGTTGCCTTACTGGTCACTTAAAAGTCAGTTTTTTTTAAATATCAGATTTGTATAAGGTCGAGTTAATATAATTTCTTTGCTTTTTCCAATCTATTCTATTCCTTTATCTGATAAACTATTTGTGTTATTATTAACAAATCTTATAAGTTAATAACTGATACTAGAATCTAGTTGTGACCTATTTATATCTGTTATTGGTTAGAAGATTTGCTTATAGCAATTTGCTTACATTCATATATCGCTTATATAAAACCAATTGAATAACTTATTATCAGAATTCAATGACGCTCGTATTATAGTGATTCAAACAAATAGTCACAGACACTATTAAGTAAAAGTGTTCAAGACACTAATTCGGGTTGCATCAGCAAAGAAGAAGAAGCGTTTCGTCACCAACCACGACCAAGTGTCGTTCAACAACTCTCAAAGGGATTTTGCAAGTAGGTCCCAGCTGGTTACAACAAACACAAGACATACATGTATATATTCAAAATTTGTTTTCAGTTAGATATAACTGTTGAGTTCTGAACTTTTGAATATAAGTAATAATATCATTAAATTTAACTACATTTATGAAAAGCGCTTAAAAATTGCATAGCTATATTACCTAAGCAGTGGAATTCAGATGCAGTTTCAATAGTGTGCATATATATATACTGTATCTAGGCTATGTTAATACTTAGTTTCTCTATGTGGTATGTTTTCTATATACCCACTAAAGAATGGTCTTAAAGTATTTCTAACTAATCTCACAATCATATCTATTTTAATAAAAAAATGTCTGCAGGCATAACATTTGAACGGATACTAAACCGAAATACGATTCTTAAGCACTACTTTTGTCTTGAAAATTGCACGTAGTTCTAATAATGCAATATCTATATATAAGCATGAATATATTTTTAAAAGATTTTAACCTCGAAGAGTTTACTGCCTCGGCACACAAAGTAGAAAGCCTTTATCTCTGTGGCGATAGTAGTTGATGTGTTTATTATATGGAAGAAGAGATTGACGTTTGCAGCAAGGAGGGAACGTTATATTCATTATGGCACTGAATTATGGATGATTATTTGTGTGACATGAAACGAAAATTTTTGATCATAATTGACTATGCTTCTTGAGGAGGCATATTTTAGTTTACATATGCGAGGACTGTCGGTTCAAGTGAGTTTTGTCATCTTTTGATATGCTTACATTTTAGGGTTCAATGAGCTATAATAGTAGCAATAGAAGGCTTTTATTTGAGAGCTGTATAATATGTATACACATATATATTAAAATGGTTCTTAAAGTATAGTAGTTAATTATAACAACAAAAATTAATTATTATTTTTAAATAATTGAATTTTTTGGGTGTTTCGAGTATTGTCAATATATATACATATATATTCATAAACGGTACATGTTTTACGTCTTAAACAGTTATCCATACTTCTTAGTAATTAAAATGAGGATAATGAACCCATAAATACTATATTTTTTTCAAAAAGTTCTACTAGAATTTTTTATATTTACTTTCTACAACCTATAAAACATATTAATGTTTAACTAAATTTTATTTGATAGTATTTCGTGAGTTAAATTTAAAAATTTCATTATGTTGATTTGATTTCTAAAAAGTTTGGGGTCTTGAAAAATTTTTATCTTGTTTATCTAAATAATCTACAATCGATCTGACAGCTATTGTTAACTATTTAATAAAGTGTTATAGGTTTCAAGTAACTTACAACTTTTTTATTCATATAAACTAGGATGGAACTATTAGGATTATTATGCCTATTGATTTCAAGCAAGCGAATGTATAGTTTAAAGTAAATCTCTTCAAGAGTATAATGATTTCGTTAAAGCTATCTAATTTCTACTAAATAATAACTTTTAATTATTAACTAGATATTCATAATTTATGATCTAAATTTATTTAGAGAAAAAAAAACTCTTTTCATGCAATTTGAGTTTCACGTTTATTAAAATGTAAAATTATTATTCAAAGTGTGCAAATCCCATAGGTACATTGTTGAATTTGGTTTTTCTTAGCGATTTATATTGCTACTTTACCGCTAGAACTAATAATTTTGTAGTAAAAATGAAAATAATTACACTGCACATTCAGAACGATAACGAAGATTGGCCATAATAGCCTTAGTACCCTTTTTAATAGTACGCTGCTTAGGAAAGTCCAATGGGTTGCCAGTGATGTCCAGAGTCTTGATATTTGTAAAATATCCTAAATTGAATGGTAAGCTAGTCAAACGGTTATAACGCATTTTGATTGTTGTAAGGTGCTTAAGAGCTCCCAAAGCTTGGTCACCGGTATCAATCATCTTAATACGATTATCGTTAGCCAACAAAACCGTAAGATTCTTAAAACGGTAGACACAGTTTGGTATATATTGAAATTTGTTTTGTGATATATTCAATTCAGTCAGGTTCTTTAAGACAGCTAGTTCTTGTGGCAAATTTTCGAGATAATTGTTTGACAAATTGAGGATCATTAAGTTTGTGAAGCTAGTCAGAAATGGTGGAAGCGTTGCACGAGAACGGGTTTTGTCACCAATGAGATCAACTACACAAATGCACATAAACTGGAACTCACACGGTAAATTGGTAAGGCTTCCATTAGAAAAATTAACGACCTCTGAACGGTGCTCTCGAAAATTGGGCAAACATAAAGGTGAACGTTTAGTGGTACAGAATTGATTGCTATCATTCCAGTGATCTATTCTTGCATCGATTATGGAAGCTTTAAAAGCCGTTGATGTTACTTTGGCAGGCTCCAAGGCATTTATATTAGTATCGATTTGACGGATAGGATTGCCAGTAATGTATAACTTAATCAAATTCTGCAATAATGCCACAGATGTAGACAATTTGGTGATGGTGTTGAAAGAGAAATCGACTTCAGTTAAACTTTGCAAGACTATTAAATCTGAAGGAATCTCCATTAACCTGTTGAATGGTATATGCAGCACCTTGAGGTGAGTCCAGGTTGACACTAACTTATTTGGTAAACGCTTGATCTTATTACGATCCGCATGCAGCTCAAGTAAACTGTCACAACCAGCCAGTTCAGACAAGTCCATGATTTTATTATCTTGTAAACTGAGTACATGTAAGTTACGCAAATGGTTCATGTTTTTAGGAAGAGAAATCAATTCGTTGTGTTGCAAATCCAGTTTTTGTAAACTGACCATATTCACCAACGTCTTTGGTAGTTCACCTATATTATTGCTTGAGAGTACCAGTTTGGTCAAGCGATCCATGTATCCAATGCTATTGGGAAGTGAGCTTAAGCGATTATTGGCACAGTCGAAGAACTCTAAAGCGGTAAAATTTCCAATACCACGGTTTAACTCTTCTATTAAATTATACGAAATATTTAAATATCGCAAATTTATCAGACTATAAAAACCCAGTGGCAAAACCGCTATTTTATTCTGACTTAAATTAATTCGAGTTAGGTTCATCAACTGGCCAATTTCTTCCGGTAATTTGGTTAATGCATTGGACTGCATGGATAAGCTGGTTAGTGAGTCTAACTTTCCGATATCCGATGATAGTTCAATTACACAGTTACTACTTACATCGAGCTTCTGCAGCATCACTTCCGCGGGCACACCACGTTGTGAGTTCTTTTTCGCCTTCGTGCGTACAACCCCACTCCTAATGCGTAACTGGTTAATGCTGTAGACGTTTTCTGGCAAAGATTGCAGATAACAACCATTAAGATTAAGAACACCTGATTGGCGTGCCTGATGTATCAATGTTTGTACGCGATCAGTACGTGGTGACAACTTTAAAGGATTGAGTGACATCAATGTTGAACGTGAGTACTTGGGGGAGAACCCGATAGATCCAGAGGCCATCTTCTTCGTTTTAAACATGTTGAAGTGAAATGATTAAATGTTTTAATCTTAAGCGGTATATTAAATATAGATTTGAAACGCGTTTTGGAATTCGCAGAATAATACAATAGTAAAACCAAAATATATTGTCAAAGTTTTGGGAAGCAATGAAAAAATCTAACACATTTTACAATCCAAACTTTTTTCTGAATAATATATATTTCAGTTTTATATAAGGTAAGTTTAAATTTCAAAATTTTCAAAGATAACATGATTGAAAAGTTATTATTGGATTGTTCGATTGTTGCCACTGGAAACAAAAATTTGACAGCTTCTTTTTAAAATAAAATTTATACTCTTAAAAATTTTGCTATTCAAGCCCTAAAAGTCCATTGTTGTATAGATGCCATTCTGATATTTTACCAACACTGACTAACTGTGCAGAGGCGGAGCGCTTTTGATAGAGGTAATGAGTTGATATCTATATTAATATTTATGTATTATAAATTTATTAATTCTTCTGTAGATAACTAAACGGCTTACAAAAACTAGATATTGTCCAAACTAATTAACCATTATGAAATGGTTAATTAATTAACAAATTAACAGTAACCATTATAAAATTCGATAATGCGGTGTTGGTAAGCCTGTCAGTTTTCGTAAATAATTTCAGGGCTCAATACTTTATGTATTTTTTAATCGGATTAGTCTTCAGGTCCCTGAGGATGTCATTCGTCCTAATGTTAACTTTTTTACATTGAAATTTACAGTAAAAATAGAGAAATATGTAATATAAATAATTTTGATTATTATGTCTTTTGCATAATGTTTAATGAATTAACTCTACAATGTACAAATTTTAAGGTTTTATCATTAACAGACCCCACAATATAGCCATTTTAATATTGTTCTAGAATAAGAGTTCTCAAAACTCCACGGGTCCGTTTTTCCCAAGAAAAAATTCCAAAATTAGTACTATCAATATTTAAAAAAGGGAGCTCTTAAAAAATTTATTTTATCGTTAAGTCTATATGTTTTGTTAATAGGTTGTTAAGGACAACTGAGTATGGTCTTATAAAAAAAGAATATGAATATATTTAGTTTTTAATATTGTTTAACTCTTAGTGTTAGCACTTAAGAGCTTAACTCACGATAAATTACGAATATACGAATATACTAGTTTTTTTTAAAAAGTTTTAAAGTTTGTCTGAATTTTAAATATTTAGTTTTGGTCGTAACTTAAGTTTAATGTGTACATAAATTAAGTAAATATTAATAAAAATAATGTAAAAGTAGATTTTAAACTGAAGTCACAGACCACACCGGTACAAATTCTGATTCATCAAGTAAATTACAGGCGACATCTACCTCGCCTCTCTGAGTCATTAAAATTTTAGCCGATAAGATTATCTCATATTGTAACATAAAATGTTTTAAAATATTGTAAATAAAAAAATAAAAGAAAAATGCTGAAAACCTTAAAACAAGTTAATTAACAATTAACGAAAAAGAAAGATAATTCAGACCAGAAGTAAACGCATGAAATTAAAATTCTTAGTGTAACGTAATAAGTTCGTTAAAGTGACGGTTCGAGCGACTACACAGTGTACATTACAGTTCAATATTTTTCCTATACAAGATATTATTTCAGCCTGGCTCTTTAATATCTATACATTATAACATCATAACCTTTCTATTTTTAAAAGCGACTAACTTCTGTTGAGCTGTTATAGTGTTGTGTGGTCCCCTAACTTCCAGATAATCCAGCGTGCAGAGTATTCACTGGGGCTAGTTTACTGAGATTATGTTATTGGAAATGGTGGTGTGATTTAGGAGGTAAGAGGTATGAGAGATGTTGTGTTGAAAGGTTGGATGAATAGAATGACATGTATCGAGTTCAAGAAGAATATTGTCACCTTAGTATAATAGATTTCAAGACTAATTGGTTGCAGAATAGTTCGATTGTAGTTTGGACAGACATCAGGAAAAGATGATTCAAATGATTTTTTTGAAGTTTTTTTTTTATATGTTTAGTATACACTTATACTCTAATATAAATTTTACTAGAATCGTTCTCACTATTCTAGGCAGTCGTTTTATTTCTTAAGAGATTATAAGTGTTGTTTAATTAAAAACTGAATCATATTAAAAGTGATTGGTCAAAAAGTATATGCAATAACTTTACAATTATAAAGATGATATGGTACATAAAAAATCATGGTTATCAAAAATTTGCTTCGGTATGAAGGAAATTTTCTGCTACAAATATTGTTGATATGTTGTTAAATGAATGTAAGAATCCTTGTTTTGTTGAAATGTAAGAACTGGAAAGAGTTTTCTCCAGGTAAGGCGTATCTGTCGTAAAAGAGGTCTAAAATCCAACAGGCTTCAAATTTTCTAGCATAAAATTTTTTTTTTCAACCATTAACTTAACCGTGTTTTTTAATGTTAATTTTTTTTTTCGTAAGTAGTGCGTCTTATACTAAAAGAAACTATTAAAAAGTTAGAAGGGTTTGAATAGATATAAAAGATAACAACAAATATTATAACTAATTTATTAAAGTTTGGTTGACTATACAATGCCATTTCGAGTATTGCCAAGTACTCATTATCAGTGGTCTTAGAATATATTCGAATTTTTTAGTTAGTTTATAGTTCGTATATAATTTGTTTGGATTGCAAGTGTCAGTCTTAGAACTTGTGACTGTCAAATTAGAAGGCTGCACAAACCGTGTGTTGTTGGGTATTTTTTTTTGGACGAACAGAGGTTGCCTGATGATGAATCCTAAAAGAATTTTTATTATACTTTCGGATATGTAGTTTAAGTTTTTTTTTCTAATAGAATCGATAAGATTTCAACAAAATTAGTTACTCAGTTTTTGGTTAAAAACTACTTTGAAAATGTATCTAATGAACTGATATTACTGTCAATGAGTTTGCAGCGACACTATTATGATAAAAATGATAAATGTATGCAACAAGACAAAATATCACAACGTAAAAAAGCAAGAGCCGAGAATACGAATACGAGTTGTGACCACAAATGCACTATAAGTCAAGATGCATTTTATATGCAGGAATAATGACATGGGTGTACCTAAAAAGGATAATAAATGGTTAAAACGTGCTTTAACTAATCTACTGAATTAAATATAGATATCAATACGATTTGATGGTTTGATGGTTTGATGGTCCCTGAAAAAAAATTGAAAAACATGCCGCTGCGAGCATATCACCAACGCACCTATACAAACATCAGTACTTGTATAAACACCATAAACTATATACACCACACATTATATATTTATGTATGGTATATATGTTAGCATATGGATGGATATGTGCATTTTATACGTGTTATCAGTAAAATGCAATGGACACAGACGATAAAGTGATGCATGCAGCTCATGACAGCATTAAGCCAAAGTAAACTGAACTGCATGCATGCCATTTAAAAACGTTGTAGTTGCTACAAATTAAGGCACTTATCACTGATAAGAGACTAACGACAAATGCCCAAAATGAATCCAGTTCGTGTTGTCAATGGGAAGGTCGGAGACCGCAATATTGAAAGCATACAGAGATGCATGTCGGTATGTATCGATATATCACTGTGTCGACAGTCCAGTCGACAGTCGACAGTGGACAGTGGACAGTGTGTTTACTGGTGTGACTGTCACTGTGATATGTGCGATGTGCGGTGTGCGATGTGCGATGTGTATGTGGTGCAGGAAGCAATTAGCTATAAATAAATTTTAAATATTTTATTTTCATTTTTATTTTTATTTTAATTTTAATATTTGTTTTTGTTAAAACTCTGAGTTTTATTTTGCTTTCATCTTATCACTTAATTACAATTTGTAATGGAATAAAATTCCAATTAGAAGTGTAAGAAAAACTTTAACGGGCGACTTGCTAATCGGGTTCAATTTGGGTTATGTGTCCCAGAACTCGGCTTTGTTGCTTTCTGTGGTGAACCAAACGAGAGCTTTGCTCTGCTCTGTCTTGCTCTGTCTTGTTTTGGTTTACTTTGCTTTGCGTACAGAAAATGCATTAAGGAACGATAAACTTAATGGTGCGTTAAGCAAACTTTAAGCAAAGGGACGTCGTCTTCCCAGTAAGAAAATGACTAAAAATACCTAAAAATAACTGGAAATCAACAGATATTTAGATACTCACAAGTAAGAGTGGTGCGAAATACAAGAATGCCTTAAATAATAGTTACACAAATTTCAAATTAAACTTCAACTGGATGAAGTGTTCTCATTAGGACAAAAAATAACTGTCACAAATAATGTTTTATGTCATTTAAAAAATCATTTGTGCCATTAACATAATTCTTAAAAATTTCTGCACTATTCATCAAATACGGAATTTTTACGACTTGAAAAGATTTACGATCAACAGAAAATATAAGACCTTTGTATCAAAGATGGTGAATTAATGTATTTAGCATTAAGTCCTTTAAATCTTATAAAAATAACTAACTAATTTTCAGGATTTGCTTTACATACAAGGTCAGGTATATAACAGATACATAAACGCCTTATGCGAGTTAAAAGATGTTTTTTGGGGGTGTGTGAAATTTAAAATATAAATAAAATAAAGATGAATAAAATCAGACAGATCATTTCGACGAGATTTAGATTTCCTAGGTAAGCCCAATTGACAACGGATTATAGTAGAGAGTACCTATGCTCCAGCGATATGTGAGAACATAACTCATTTTCCGAGTTATCACGGGTTCAAAGTCAACTTAAATAAAACATAAATATATATAAGAGTTTATGGAGTATATATATATAGAGTTAGTGTTTTGCTTTTATTCATATATATAAAGTTAGCGTTTTGATTTTATTCAATAGACAATTCCAACGCTATTCAGATTTCCTGAGAACGCCCAATTGACAACGGATTATAGTAGAGAGTAACTATTCTCTAGCGATATGTGACAACATAACTAATTTTCCGAGTTATCAGGGGTTCAAATAACTTAAATAAAACATTAATATATATAAGAGTTTATGGAGTATATATATATAAAGTTAGCGTTTTGATTTTATTCAATAGACAATTTCAACGCTATTCAGATTTCCAGAGAACGCCCAATTGACAACGGATTAGAGTAGAGTTAGTGACTTTTCAGTCGCGGTATACGCTAACATAGCATACTTTAAAGTAAATTTCAATAAAA